CCCCAAAACCCCAAAACCCCAAAACCCCAAAACCCCTTGTTCAAGCTAAAGTATTGAATTTATAGACGAATTAGCTTCTTTTTCATTCTTCGAACTCTATCCAGCTTCATATTCTTGATCATCTTAACAAGCTCCTTATCCCTGTGGCAGATCTGCTTGAGAGTTACTTTTCTACTACTTCCAAGGTAAGCCTTGCGAAGTCTTTTGGTATTTTTCCTCTTAGATTTTATTAACATTTTGTTCCCATGCATCGGCTCTCTCTTGACACTTCTCATAGCAGTTTTGGGTCTAGAGTTTGTCAACTAAGCTTACCTTAATCTTTTAGTAGACTGGACTAAAAGGCGGCTTCTGGCTGGTATTAGCTGAGAAGGATCAGTTTCTAACTCTTCATTCTTCCCTTGTGTCTTGACTTCATCTTGGTTGATATCAAAGTCATCTTCGTTTTGTTTGAGATATTCTTGGAAATGGTCAATATCTTTATCAAACTTCTGCTTGGAATCAGTATGAAGTTCCTGAATATTTCCCTTCTCGACACTCTTGGTCTGGTCACGAGCTTTGTTCCTTACCTTCGAGCGATTAAGGCTCTTGAAATTTTCATTAAAAGAAGTAAATTTATAGTTGCCGAGTAGACTTTTATTCTCGGTTTTGAAATCAGAACTGGAGTACGTCAAGTTATCCTTGACATAAGAGTGGCTCTTCAACTGTCTTTGTTGAGATAGCTTGGAGACTATGGGGTAATTTGCTGAACTTACAGCGTTTATAATTTTTAAAAGCCGAATCCTTCTTGAATATTTGATAAATAGAACTGGTAGTTGGTCTTTTACGGCACTTGCTTGATCTCTTATTTGAATTTTCTCTTATTTTTAATAGAAGCAGGCTTGATTAAGTCGACACGGTTGAGAGGTGTGTAAAGTCTAGCTCTTCAGTTATATTTTGATTCATTTCCTGAGTATTTATTTGATTCAGGGATTGTATATGTATTCAAGCTTTGATGATTTTGGTTATTAATGTGATGGAAATCACTTCCTTTTTGAAAATAATTTGTCGCCTCTAAATATTAACAAGTTTAAGTACCATTAATTAGACTCATTATCTCTTTAGTATGTTTGCTAGAAATCACTTTACTCATCTCTTTACTATTTCTCACCAAAGACGCCTCCTTCTCCTCTTCCGACTCAGACCTCCTACTCTCCAAACTATGCTCTAAACAATCCACACCACCCCTACCTTTCAAAACACTCATCTTCAACCCCTTCAACCTCTCATCCATCAACCCTACACTCATTTTAAATTTCAATTATAATCCCCTAAATCGGGGTTTTGGGGTTTTGGGGTTTTGGGGTTTTGGGGTTTTGGGG